TATATCTGAAATTCTCTCTTCACATTGGCTCATTCTGCTGTGTAGACTTTCAGTGGAGTTTTTAATCTCCTGGAAATGTGTTTGCATTTGTTTTATGGATTCCATTTGTTTCCTATGTTGGGATTCCATCATGTTCCTCAGCTCCTCTCTAGAGTTATTAATCATGTCTTGCACTATAAGCACAATCTCTGCTGTTATCTGAGAAATTATTTGTGATTTCATTTTTTCCCGATCCTCTTTTGTTGCCAATTCAGGGAGTCCAAGTGGTTGAGTATCAGAGTGTTCCATCTCATTTCCCTTTGGGGTTGCTGTAGGTGATCTGGTAGTCTGGGTTTGAGACTTGTTTATGTGTCTTCTCATTTCGATGGGGGGGTCAGGGCGCAATGGGTGTGTGTGCTGTTGGGGCCCGTGCAGCTTACCTCGTCTGCGCTGGGAGGGGTTGTATGGCAGCCCAGAAGCCCCTTCCTCTGTGCTGGGAGTGGTGGTACAGCAGCCCGCCATATTGTAGAGTTTTGATAGCTTTTTTTTTGTAAGTTAAGGCAAGTATTTCCAGTTTCAGTAAGAGTCCTTTGTTTTTGTTTTTGACGTAAATTGTGCTGTGTTGTACCACATACCTTTCTACATTTATCAAGGTGTTCTTGTTTTCTTCTTTAATCTGTTAACCTCTAAATGTGTTATTTGTGCCTCTCTTTTATTCTAAGGTTTCTTTTCCTATTTTATTTATCTTTTCAAAGAAGCTATGTTGACAGTTGTTAAATTTCTCAATTGTTTATTTTTGCTTTCTCTCATTTTCTGCACGTTTTCTTTTATCTTCTCAACTTGATACTTCTTTTTTACTCATTAGATAGTCTTAGTTTATTAATTTTTATTAAGATCCCATAAGCTAATATGTAGTGTTTTCATAGTTGTTCTGTTCCAAGTGTATTTATAGAATTATACTTAGTTTCTTATTCTTATGAGTTTATACTATAATTATTTATATGCATTAGCTTTTCCCAGTCAATATTCAAGTGTATAACAATTTTTTAAAGAAAATAAATGAAATATGAATGAATTTACTCCACCTAAAACTGCTAATTGTCAGGTATAAGACTAGAACATCAAATATATGCATCCATACTGCAAAATAGCCTAAGGTATGAATTCTTTATTTATTATCATATCAGGGTTTTTCCATCTTTAATAAGGTCTTCCCACTCCACAAACAAGATTTTTAAAGAAAAAATTTATCTTTTCATTATTCCTAGATTACTCAAAAGTATCAGCTCCATGAAGTCACTGCCTATCTATTGGAAAAGAAAGGAGATATTCCTGGTGCCTTCTCAATAATGCTGAAGGTAACATTTTACTGCCTTTGTCTTGCCATATTTCTGTCTATCCGTTCATCAGGTCATCTTAATTTCTTTCGTTTTAAGATAAGTTGCAGACAAAACTACATTTTACCTGTGAACATTTTTATCATGCTTATCATTAGTATTGCTTTGTGGCACTTTTTTTTTTTTAAAGAAAAGGTACCTTCAACAAAACATAAGTTATAAGTGCACCATTGGGTGAGTTTTTGACAAATATATATACAAAACAATATGGAGAACATGACCTTCACTGCAGGAAGTTCCCTTTGTTTTCTTTTCTTTTTTTTTTTAATATTATCATTCAGCTTGGAATAGATTAAGGATGTCCTATTGATATGTATAAAAAATAAGCTTCTACATTCTAGCCATATGATCCTAAAACAGGCCAGGAAGAATACTGCTCAGCAGCTTTGTACAGGCAATTAATTTCTTTTAATTTGGAAATTAACCTGAAATTTTTTGTTGACAATACCATGAAGCTAGTATTAAAGGATAAATAAAAGTATTCCTGCCATAAATAGGGAGAGAGAGACACCAGATCTTAGCAAAGAATACAACCTTTCTTGAAAAGTCTTGGGAGTACAAAGAAGTGTGGGCTATTCAGAGCCCACCAGCCGCATTACAGGGACTCATCCACACAATGGATAGGCAAGAACAAAAGCCAGATCTAAATCTGAGCAGACTTTGTGGGACATGCTAAAGAATTGTGAAGGAAAGAACTGACTTGCTTCATAAAGAGCTCTGTTGGCTGTGGGAGAGTAGGTGGGAGTATGGGGAGTGAGATGCAGAGAAGCAAGAGGAAAAACTGAAAGCAGAGAGTGCCTGGAAGGCCATCGCAGTAGTGCGGGTGTGAGGTGTGAGTTGTTCGGGAGGCTGAAGCAGGAGGATCGAAAGTTCAAGTCTCACCTGGACAACTTTGTGAGACCCTGTCTCAAAATAAAAAACTTTAAAAAGGAGTGGGGATATATAGCTCAGTGTGAAGGCCCTGGATTCAATCTTGAGTACCATGGAAAGGGAGGGGGTATATTTTAGAATTTATGAATCATCTCACTATGGTATGAGATGAATGAGGAGTGCTGAATGGTGATTCTAGCTTAATACTCTGTTATTTTGGGTCTATAAAGGACCCTTTAAAAAGGAGCAAATCTTTGGTAGAAGGGATCTATTAGTATCAGCTTCAAATATGTAGTAAGAAGCCTTTGGAATCAGTTAAGAGCATCTAAAGATCTAGAATTCAGTAGCGCAGTGGGTGCTACAGCTGCATATTTGGGGAGAAATCACACCCAGGACTATGCCCTGTGTTACGGAGAGACCCTTGTCACTTTCTTTTGTTCCCATCCACCCAGCCTACCCCTTTTTCTCATAACCTAGTAAATTTTAAACCCTTATCCAGAGCATGGATAAATCCTAATCCTCATTTCTGTGCCTAAAAGCTCTGTGACGACTGTGTGGTGGTGTAACAGACATGGGCAGAGTAAGTGATATTTGATCTTTTGGGTCCCTTCCTGTACTGCTAGCTTCACATACTATTCACTTCTGAATGATAGTAAGGGAGCATCCTTAAAAACTTTGCTATTTCTTGGGGTTTTAGCTTTAAAATGTGTTAGTTCAAATAATGTGGTGAATAGAAATATAAGGTGTTCTTGTTATCTCCTACATTCTTTTTATGTAGAGGCTGCAGAGCAGACTTCAAGAGATAACACATCAAGGTGAAAGTAAGTTCTTGAATATAATTTACAATTTTTTTCTGCCACAGACCTCAGGTTTTTAAAAATATTCAATAAACTGCCTTCATTAAGTAGTAATTACATTGATCCATCTGTATAATTACTGTTTATCCACTTTCACGTGAATCTAAATTTTAGCTAGTTTTCAGGTGTTCATAATAGGAAATCATTTAAATTGTCATGGCTTGGTAGTGCTAATTGTCAGTGGAGTTAAATGTACAGGAAATTAGACACTGTTTACTGTTCTTGAGTATCTTTTTGGATATATTTCTCTACTTGTGATTTGGTTATATGTAAATGAGGTACATAATTAACATCCTAAAAATTAGTGTAATATGATAAATAGGAGCAAATCAAAACTTCTAATCAATAATAGCCAGGGCCAGGGATTTAGCTCAGTGGTTCCGCTGCCTGCCTCTCAAGTGCAAGGTCCCAAGTTTGATCCCCGGTACCAAAAAAATAATAATAAAAATAGCTAGTGTTTCTCTACTGAATTTGTACCACTTTAGCTCAAAGCAGTTAAACTTGACAGTTTAGAATCTTGAGTGCTTTTGACACAGGAAGATAAAAGTTTCAGTATGTTCTTTGACATTTTTTAAAAATTAATTTTTAAAATTATGGTAAAATAAATCAAGATAAAATTTACCACTTTTTAAGTATACAGTTCAGTGGCATTATATACTTTCACATTATTAAACAGTGATCACCAGGGCTGGGGATTTAGCTCAGTGGTTCTGCTGCCTGCCTCGCAAGCACAAGGACCCAAGTTCGATCCCCAGTACCAAAAAAAACGAAAACCAAACAAACAATGATCAATACTATCTGTCCCCCAGTTTTTTCATCTCCCCAAACTGAAAATCTGTACCCAATAAGCAACAACTTTCCATTCCTCCCTCCCCTGGCCCCTGGAAACCACCATTCCACTTTGTTTTCTTTTTCTGCATTTGATCACTCTGAGAAACCATACAGTGTTCATTGTTTTGTTACTGTCTTATTTCACTCAGCATAATGTCTTTAAGACTCATAAATATAAAACATGTAGCACTTTCTTCTTCTTACGGCCGAATAATATTCCACATATATACTACATTCTTTTTATCCATTCGTCACTTGATGGACACTTAGCCGGCTTTCTCCTTTTGGCTAATTGTGACTAATGCTGTTATGAACATGTTTGTACAAATACCATTTTCTGTCCCTGCTTTCATTTTTTTTGAGTATATATCAGAAGTGGGGTTGCTAGATCAAGTAGTAATTCTACTTTCAATTTTTTGAGGAATCAACATACTGTTTTCCATAGCAGCTGTACCATTTCACCTTCCCACCAGGAGTGTATAAGGGTTACAGATTCTCCACATCCTCACCAACAATTTTATTTTGTGACTTGGGGAGGGGGCAGTGGGCAAAGCAAGGATAGCAGCTCTCCTGTTGGGTAGGAGATGGTATCTCATTTGTAGTTTTGATTGCATTTCTCTAATGATTATGATGTTGAACATCTTTTCGGCCATTTGTGTATCTTTTTTGGAGAAATATCTATTCAAGACCTTTATCCACTTTTGAATCAGATTGTTTGCTTTTATATTCCATGACATTTTCAAAATAGCTCACTTGAAAGTCAGGAAAATCCCTTGTTAGGTGGTTTTTAGATTATTCTGCTTCTTAACACAACATTATTCTTTCATCCCTTGGCCCACACAGTCCTTTAATACACTTTTACCCTAATTCTCTCTAGGTAATTTATATTTTTTATGGCTAGGTCTGAGATAGAATCTGTGTTGTATCTTGATCACCTTGAATTATATTAAGCTGTTTTTGGAACCTCAGTAAACACTTGATTGACTTTTCCTTATTGATAATCTAACTAGATATTTAATTATTCTTTTTGAACCATCAGTATGTATTCAGTCAATTTAATTACATTTATTGCACTTTATTACATTTTACTTTTTAAATTTAATGTTCTGAGAATAATTTTGCAGACAATACATGGAAGGGTGATAGAAAAGTAAGAAGAATGTTTTCCCCCAAACTGCTACAATGATTTGTAGGTTGTATGTCTGGAAAAGCCAGTTTTTAAAATTCCAATGAGGATACATTTTCTAGTAATAGTCTCCTAGTCAGTCCAGTAATAGTCATCTGCTTTCCAATTCAGTCTCCACATTATGCTTAAGAATTTTGAACCATTTGGTAGTTGCAAGACACTGTGCTTAGTTCCTCTGAGCTATACACAGATGCCTGAAACATAACCCTCCCTTTCCTGAAGAACTAAAGTCTTAACAAAGAGGACATCCACACAAAAAATGATTAAAGTGAGTCACATAGAACATTTATGTATAGTGAGAATGGCAAAGGAGTGTGGAAAATTAGGAGACTGTTGTTTGCAACCAGTGGATAAGAGTTTTGTGGGAGGTATGGCTTTTAAGGAGGAAGAGGAGTTTATTAGACAAAGCAGGACAGGGTCTTCCAGGCTGAGTAGGACCTGAGTACTGAAGTGCCCAGCTAGAACCTTGGAGATTAGGAAAGGAGACAGCAGTACCAGAGTACAGAGGGCAAGATAATGGACCTGAATCTTTACTGTTATTTAGGATCAGAGGCTTACTTACATGTTCTGTTTAAGGATTGGGAATCTATGACTGTTTTTGTGGAGAGAAGTGACTGATTTGGACGTTGTGCTTAAGAAAAGTGAATATGGGAGGCGAGGTCTGGAAGTCAATGAAAAGACTGTTGCAGGGGCACAGACATGTACATGGAGTTCACTAGGGTAAAAGTAGTGGGCACGTGTGTGCATGGAAGGAGAATCAACAGAATTAGCACTCGTATATATGGAATTAAGGAGAAGAAAGGATCAAGGGTGATGAAGACTTATAAAGTAATTGACTTAAAGATGATTCCATTAACTTAGCTTGGAAATGTAGGGGGAGGAGCAGATTTTAAACAAGTAAAACTGGGTTTTGCACATACAAAGTTCAAAGTGCATGCAGGACATCCATGTGGAGATTGTGTCTTACGGCCCAAAATTCAACCTGGAGATTGTGAATGAAATAAAGGCTGAAGTGTATTTGAAAGTGTTTAACAAAGACATGACACTGGGACTGTAAGAGAGACTGAAATAATAGAAAACTGCAAAGAGAAAAGAAACTAAGACAATACCTTGGGGAAAATCACTACATTTAAAAAATAAAGGAAGAGGTGATAGAGAAAGATAGGTGAAAGATAATCTCTACTAACCAATCCACATGTGATTCCCATAGCTAAAGCATATTAAAATGCTAAGTGTGATGTGCTTTATGTGTATTTTTAATGTGTATTTTAATGCCAAACATTTGCATGGATCTATTTTTTAATCTACTAAGCCTCAGTGTCAAGTCTTCTGGATGAATATAGAAAAGAAAACCAAGGCTTTGCAAAGGAAGAGTTTAATTTTTCACAGAAACTCTGAGATTATCAGTAACATACCCTTAAGTGATGCTTGTACTCTCTGTGAATCTAGATACCAAAGAGGATCCCTCACTGAAGGATGTTGAAGATACCATGCTAGAGACAATTGCTCTTTGCCAGAGAAATTCTCATAATTTGAACCAGCAGCAACGAGAGGTAGGAGAGGGACTACTTAAGTGTTTAAAGGCCCGTTCTGTTCTGAAACTAGGAACTAATTCTATTTCCATTGCCCTCTCAGCCACCTGAGTCTAATTCAGCTGGATTTTAATCACTTTTTAGTGTTCCCAGGAGTATAAGGCTCCTGAAGATATTATGAGTGTCTGCCCTCTTTCTTCTCACAAAAGGCTTTATGTTCTTAGATTCAATTGTGCTACAAAATGTAAGGTACATGAATACTAGATGTCCCTGGTGTCTTTGGACTGAGATTTTGTGTATTCTGTGTAGTGCTACTATGAGTATGTGGTCATTTATCATCTTTTCCGTCCCTGTGGATGAAAGTGAGCATGAAGAACTGGAGCAAAGACCTCCAGGGATACAGAGACAGCTGAGAAAAGGTTAAAGAAGACTGTGATATAGTAGTTCCCAGCCTTGGCTACAAATTAGAGTCACCTGGGGAACTTTGAAAAATCTCATTGTTCAGACTGCACCTCAGACCAATTAAATGGAAGTCTCTGGGACTGGGACCCAGTCATCAGTATGTTTTACAGCTCCTCCCATCACTCCAGTGTGAGGGCAAGGTTGGAACCGCTGCTGTGATAGATCCCCAGATGCACAAAGAGAGAAAATAAAACCGAAAGAGGTATAGACAAGTACCTGGTGCAGGTGGGCCTGACAGCAACAAAGCAGAACCTACACCGTGAGATGTGATTGACAGCTAAATTCTGCGGTGGCTTTAAAAAGTAAAGCTGTATCACAACATGGCTGCTCTCCTCTGTCCCTGCCTCTGCAGGCCCCAGGCCTCTGATGTCATACCACCTGGCATCTTTCTATAGCCTGGGGGTTTTTTTGTTTTTTTTTTTTTTTTCTGGTACCGGGGATTGAACTCAAGTCCTTGCACTTGCGCAGCAGGCGGCGAAACCACTGAGCTAAATCCCCAGCCCTATAGCCTGGGTTTTTGAAAAGGGAACAAAGTTAATTTATCATATGCAGTTAGCTGTACATGTTACAATGAGAATGACAAATCTTGGTATGTTTTCTGTTCTGAGATGGATAAATTTATCCTGTAAGTTTTTATCAAGGATTTTTCAGGTCATAAATTATGAAGATTCTTTAAAATACAAATTGTGCATAACAAACATACTTGCAACTAAATGTGATTTTTCTTTATTAAAAAACTTTTCCATGAGACGATACATATTCATTTTTTTTTTTTTTGGTACCTGGAATTGAACTCAGGACCTTGCATTTGCAAGGCAAATGGCAGAACCACTGAGCTAAATCCCCGGCCCACATATTCATTTTTTAAAATCATGCAGTACAGACAGTTACACAGAAGGATTTTTAAAGAAATATTACAATATATTTATTCTATCATCCAGAAATAACCATCATTATCATTTGGTGAATATCACTCTAGATATTTTTTGTCTGCCTAGGTTGATATACTTTTAGAAAATAGTGCTTGCTTTTAAAAATATAGTATTAAATCTCTTCTAAAAAACATATAAAACTGAGGAGTTTCTAAATTTCAAATAAATCATTCATTACCATATTATCTTTTAATAAATCTATCATTTAAAAAGTCTGAATGATAGATTAATCTGTAATAGATTAGAATTATTATGTCTATATCCTCATGATTACATTTTGGTTTTAATGATGTGCATGATGCCGTGTAAGTAAGGAAATTCACATCACTCACCCTTGCTCCCCAGCCTTCCATGTGTTGCCTAATTTTAATTAGTTTTCATTAAGGTTATAACATTTACATTATTTTCTCTATTCAGAGTTCCCATAGTTGTTTAATCCTTTTAAAATGGGCTATAAACTTAGTACCCAAGTCCTTTTATCATGATTTTTTTCCTCTCCTTTTATTTTTATTAATCTTTTGTCAGCTGGTTGTGTTTGAACGTCGTTATATTTTGATAGAGAAACACAAAAGGTTAGGATTCTTAAAGCTATGTTGATACATTTGTAATGCTAAGCTTTTCAAAAATGTTTTGATCCATTCATCTCATCTATAATACATCTTTGACACTTTCACTTGGAAATTTTTTTTTTGGTACTGGGGATCGAACTCAGGTCCTTGCACTTACGAGGCAGGCAGCAGAACCACTGAGCTAAATCCCCAGCCCTCACTTGGAAATTTTAAGGAAAAATGAAAATTATTGATATATTTTATATAACATTTTAGGGTCACATAAAGCGAACTATGTCTCAATTCACAGACATTAACAGTAAAGTTAAACATAAGAACTTTAGGGTTGATTTGAACTCTTAGCCAAAGATGAGTTTTTGCCAGTTTCATTTTTTTTTTATGGTAAAATCTCAAATGTGTCTGAGTTGGAATTTGTTTTACTAATGATGATAAATGTTAGACCTCTTTCTGTCCTTTGAAATTCTCCCTTCTCAAGATTATTATTACATTTATTGTTATGTTATTACATAACAAGATTATTATTACTGACTGGCTGCAAATATAAAAAGTCTACCTACAAGAGATATCTTTCTTTCCTTATTTTACACACACGCGCGCGCGTGCGTGTGCATGCACAAATCACTTTCTACTCCCTCCCACTACAACTGGTTTCTGCTTCATTTCTGAACAAGTTTTATAACATCAACAGAAATATTTGAATGTTCATTTTTATGTAAATACTATTTTTGTGAAAATACTAGGCTGATTTTTACATAATACCAAACATTAAATTTGGGGGATACTAGTGATTGTTTGCTTTGTTTCTCTTTGCTTTCTTTTGTTCTTGTATTGAAAAAATGTGAGAATAAGTTATTGCCACAGACCCTACAGTAACTAGGAAATCTGAAATGTCCAAAAGCTTGATAATGAATTACATTTAACATCTCCCACCAGAAGTTCCATCAGGAGATTTAATATCAAGGAGTATTTCCTTAAAGTTAGACCCCAGGAAGCTGGGTTGTTAGTCCTTTCCCAAGTAGAATCTCTGAGCACCTCTCTTCCCTTTGCAAATCTACTTATGCTACTACAGAGATTACATATAACAAGGATGATGGCTTTGATACTCATGAAATTCCTTGAAAAGAAAGCTGTTCCCTGAAATCAGGTTCAGTTGTGTTGTTATCTGAGGAGGTAGGATTGTTATTAAGGAGGGTTGTTTTAATCTATGGGCTTTTAGGTCCTCCCAGTAAAAATGATGAGAATTAACATTAAGGAGTAAGAGAAATAAAAATATTTAAAGGGCTCTACCATATAGTTAGGGTTAAGGTGGAAGCTTAGTGAAAGAATAACTCCCCTACTTAGGGTCTAAATAGACCCCATAGCTTTTACCACTACACCCTGCTTTCCTGTCTGCCATTTAGAAAAGAGAATAAACCCTTCAAAAAAGATGATCCTCAATTGTCTGGATTAAACAAAATTTAATAGTCACATTTCTAAACAAATATAAAAACCAAAAAATAAAAATTAGGTGTGCCATATATCTAACTTATGGGAGACCATCAGATACACAGAAATAAATGATGTGGTCATAAAAACAAAATAGGCAACCAAAAAGTAAGTTAAGTGAAACTAAGAATAATACGCAAGATTAAAAGTTCATGACTACTGGTTAAAATAAATGAAAATTTCATTAAAATAAGGAATTGGCCAGGATAGAACAGTTAAAGAAAGTATCTTAAGAACTTAAAGAATTGCTTCTCAGCCTTTTGGCTAAGATCAAGTGTAGAATTTAAAGAAGTATAATAAAAAATTAGCAGCATAAAATGTTGGACTTAACTTCAGGCAGGGGTAGATGAGGGCTTCCTGGGTAGAGTTCTGTGGTGGGAGACACCCAGTGGGGATCCCGGGACCCTTAACCTATCTTTACCTTAAACCACATCCGTATCTTCATTGCTCATCAGCTCTGCAGTAGGGGATGGAGAGGCACAGGATGGATGTACCCTCATCTGTAAATGACCACTCTGGCCCTGCCCTGTCTTTACTGACTTTTCTTCATGTCTCCTGGATGTTTGCAACATCCCAAGGTGATTTGAACTGTTAAAATGTTTTGGCTTGATTTTTTTACAGATTTTCTTCTGCCACTTAGAGCACTGAATTTTGGGTCAGACAACTAATTTACTGCAGTGTGATCTTTGGCAAATTTCTGAATTTCTCTAAACTTCAACTTCTCATTGCAAGTGAATATAATACCTACTATATAGGTCCTATAATACCTACTATATAAGGTTATGAGATTGAAATGAAAACATACAGTATATGTAGGACATTTAATATGGTGCCTAACGTAATATAAATGGTAGATCTCACTGGGCATGGTGATACATGCCTGTATGCTCAGCACTTGGAGGCTGAGGCAGAAGGATCACCATGAGTTCGAGTCCAGCCTGGACTACACAGCAAGACCCTGTCTCAAAACACCAAAAAAATGGGCAGTGGGGTAATTTGTTTATGAAGTTGATAATGTTAATTGAAATAATCTTCTGCTTCCTGGTCTGTGATGACTTAGGAAATATAAACTAAGTTTTTATACAGGAAAAATCTTTGGATAACTTCCATTCATTTGTCTTGCTTGATATTGCTTTTAAAAAGTGGAAGGGGTAGCTGTGGGGATTATTTGTTCCTTTTCATCAGAACATGAAGTTATTTAGACTTTGTCAGTATATGTTTATACCAGAGTAGGTAAGAACCTAGCAGGAAGTTTCCCTGGCTTTTTTGAACCTCCCTTCTCCAAAGACACACAGAATTGTAGGTCTAAGTCTTCTTATGTTTCCTAAGGCTTTATGGTTTAGATGTCTCTTCTAGCTGTGATCTCAGCCCCATTCCCAACCCCCCATTACTGGGGATAAACCCAGTGCTTTTGGGCATGCCAGGCAAGTGCTTTAGCCCTGACCTGCACCCCTCACCCTTTTTATCTTATTTGAAGCAGGGTCTCACTGTTGACCAGGCTGCTTTGAACTTGTATTCCTCCTGCCTTCATCTCCCAAGTACCAGGGACTACAGTTGTGTGCCACCACAACTATCCTGGTCTTTGCTTTTTATTGTCTTTTCTCTATCTAGTCAAATAGTCCCCCATTTCTTTTTAGAATTTTTACCAACAAATGAACATCATCTGTAAAACACCATGCTGATGTTTGTTATTTCAAACAGTAATGGAGGATTTTGGTTTCTCTTTGGTTGCCTCTGACCCCATAGGCACTCTGGTTTCCATTACTGGAGGCCATGATGGCCCCTCAGAAGCTGTCCGGGGCAGCTGCACCTCACATGCACTCTGAAGGTAAGTTCACTGGAACCACAGTGACTCAACTACAATTTTTGTCTGCAAAAGATACCATTCTTATATTTTTCCCAAGAGCATATTATTTTCTTTAATGAAACCATATTGTAGTATTGATCTCATCTTTCATATTTAATTTTTTGTTATTATCACATATGTAATTTATCTTGAATAATACTGTTTTTGCAATTTATAAACAGTTCACTTTAAAATATCAAACTGGCTTTGGTTACCTAAATTTCTAAGAAGGTATGTAAGTCTACTATTTTCTCCACTTACAGGAAAAACTAAAAGCCTTTATTTTAAACTAACCTTAATATTAACATTTTATTGCAACAGCTCTGAAATCTTTGACCATGCAAGTTCTAAACAGCATGGCGGCCTTTATTGCCCTACCATCAATCTTGCAAAGAATCTTACAGGTAAGCTAAAGGGGTAAGAGGACTACGTGTTGATTGATTTCAGCTGATATTTTATCAGTAATTGGGTTGATGATTAAATGGATCTCAAACATAATGCAGCTAATTTGGGGTATAAGCTAAATATCTAACTTATGACTTTTATCCTTGAATCTTTTTTTTTGGCATGAATTTGTCTGACATAAACTTGTGGCATTCAGTTAGGGTATATACCATTCAGTGGTCACTGGTTCCTTGGGATTCAAATACACGAGCTTCCTATTATCGTATCTTTTGGGAGAGAATTATCATTTATTCTAGCTTATGACATTTTTTAGATCAAAAGAAAACAATCTAAAAATTAATGTAGGCATTTCATAGCCATTGGTTGTTATTCAGGTTTTCTAATGCGTTCTAAAACAATTTTTATCTTCAGGACTCATCTCCAGCTCTAAATTCCTGGTGGCTTTTTGTCCAGAGTCTTCGTAGGACACATCATCTCTGCCTGTTTTCTTTAGCAAAAAGGGCCTGAGCCTCCCCAACTTCATCAAAAAGAGAACACTAAAAATACTCTAAGATATATTTTTAGAAAAACCTGGAAACAGCAGGAATTATACCTTAGAATCCATTTTGTCTTCCCTCACTGTATCCATTGTGGAGACATAAAAAAAAATCAAACAGTAATATCCCATTGATTATTATAATTTTCAAATGATTGTTATCCAGTCAAAATATCCTTATCAGATCTCTTTTAAGACTCCAAGCACTACTTCCCCTGTGGTGGGAAGCTCCTGGGCCTTTACTGATAAAAAGCACTGTACTCAGTAGTCTCTCTCATCACACTGCCATTGAGAATGTGTTTACACACACTACTACACTGGATTCTTGGCAACTATCATGTTGAATAATTCCTCCATATAGACTACTTCTCATAACCATTTTAAAATACATTAATCATAAAGTTTTAATTAGATATAAAGTAATATCTCCATAAAGCTGGAATACTTTACCAAGTAAATTAGAAGAAATGAAATTCTAAAAGCAGAAATGGAATCAGGTGTGGTGGCACATACCTGTAATCTCAGCACTTAGGAGGCTGAGGCAGGAGAATCACTACGAGTTCAAGGTCAGCCTGGGCTACATAGTGAGACTGTGTCAAAAAACCAAAAACTAAATAAATAAAAACTAAAGTGAGTTCTCTTTCATTGTATACATTTTGCTTTATGGTGTTCTTTAATCACACATTATAATACATGAGTATTTTTTTTCTAAATTTTAGTATTTCAAAACTTAACATCCGTGAAGCAATTTGATAATTGAAAATCTCCACTCTCCTTGAGTTACAATAGCACTCGTTATAATTGTTTTCTTATCAGTTTCTACTTTCAGGGGTTATTAACTCTTCACTAATCCAGAAAGTATGCTTTTTGTCTTACTTCATATTTGTACAGAGACTTTCATTTTTTCCAAGGTATCTTCACAGTGATCTCTTGAGGTAGGTAGGAGGACTGCTGTACAAGTTTCTGCTGGCAAAGGAGGGACCTGAAGGGGAGAGAAATTAAAAGCCCAGCCCACCATTAGTGCAGAACCTGGACAGCCACCAGCTTCCCATTTCCTAACGCATGTTCTCTTCTATTACATCATTTAAGCTTTTCGCATTTGGCTCAGCATCTGTACTTTTAAAGATTTAGTTACTAAATTCTTAATTATATTGTAGTCTTTTTATTCATTACCTATTCATATGTAGATGAAAAGGACAGTTCTTGCCTCACAAGAGCTCTTATAAGAGAGATGGAAAAGCCAGGTGTGGCAGTACACTTATAATCCCAGCCACTCAGGAGGCTGAGGCAGGGGGATTGCAAGTTTGTGGTTAGCCTAAGTGATTTAGCAAGACCCTGACTCAAAATAAATCAGAGAGAGAGAGAGAGAAAGAGAGCGAGCGCGAGGCCATGAGTACGTGCTGGGATGTAGCTGAGTGGTAGAGTGCTTACCTGGTATACATGAGACCCTGGATTCAGTTCCCACTCAGAGTGGGGGGGGGGGGTTCTGAAACATCAATTCATAATGGCCACTTTTAAGGATTATCTGCTCCAACCTCTGTGTAGTTGCCATGGAAAACTGCCACGTCGCCATCCCTACATGCAGTCCACATGGTAACACCACAAGGGGCCATGTGAAAGTGTGACCCTGCCTTCTCATGTCAACTGGTTCACTCAGGGTGGGCACCTGGTGTCAGTGGGGCAAGCGTCTCTTCTGGGAAATTTCAGAACTGAACTTGAAAAGGGTGTGTAAGTCTCTCTTCGGGTCTCTGCTTGATATAAGGTGAAAATTTCAGTGACTGACTTTTTTTATCATGTGAGCTGAAAAAATAAAAGATAATCAACAGAGAAATGAAGAAGAGAGCAGAAACACAAAGAAGTGTATGGACAAGGTGTATAGAGAGGATTCAGGACACATGAACCAGGAGAAGGAACAGCATATGGAGAAAATCCTGAGGACATCTGAGTTCCTTATTCCAGCTTTTAAGGCTTACCTGCATTTCTCTGCTTGACTCCTTGAAACATGCTAGTACTTTTACAATAATTATGGTTTTTGAATAAGTTAGATTGAGTTGGATTTTTGAATATATATATAGCCAAAGGAATACTAGAAAAATTAGTTCTCTGAAACAGACCGAGAATTTGGACAGATTTCCTGGGGGAAGAGATGTCTGAGCTGAATCTTAAAGAGCCTAAAGGAATCAGGGAAAGAAAGGAGATAAGATTATTCTAAGCACAGAAAACTATATATATATACTCTGAGATGAAAACATGGTACAGTTGAGGAGCTGCAACTGTTTATAAGTATGCCTGGGACATAAGACAAGAGTAAAGGGGAATCACAGAACTGAAATTTCAGAGATAAGCAGAAACTGTGTCCTTAATTGCTTTGTAAACCATAGTAAAGACTTTGGATTTTGTTCTAAAATCAGCAAGTTGTCATAAAGATTTTGAGCAAAGAAATGATAGAATTAGGTTTCTTTTTAGAAAGACCACTTAGTGTGAATTACAGAGGAAATTGGAAGGAATCAAGACTAAAGGCCACAGGGGCCGGGGATTTAGCTCAGTGGTTTTGCCACCTGCCTCACAAGCACAAGGTCCTGAGTTCGATCTCCAGTACCCCCCCCCAAAAAAAGACTGAAGGCCACATAGAAGTTAATAGGTACTCAGTGTTTGTTAGTTGGGTTACAAAGAATGGAGAAGAGAAGTTGGATTTGGAAATGACTTGGATGGAAGAGTCCACTGGACTTCGACTCCTGTAGGGGAACACAATGATGCAGAGGGTACACAGAGAACTTAGTTCTCTTCCAACTTCAGGTTCATGTGGCTGACAGAAAGCAGAGAAGAATATAAGACTGGAGTTTTGAGGAGGAAGTAAGAAGTAGAGATCTATACTTGGAAGTCACCCACATCAACATGGTAGTTAAATTCTTGAAACTAAATCAACTTTATGAGGAAGTGCCAGGAAAACAGAAGGCCAGAGATGGAGTTCTAGGAAATATTTAAGTCTGATTTACCTATTTTTACTTCCTATTAGAATATACACCCCTTGAGAGATAAGACTACCCTTTGCCCATACTACTTTATCACATCACCTAGCCCAGAGGCACCGGACATATAAGTCCTCAGTAAATCTTTCTAGAATGAATAAAAACCAAGAATGGAATAATTCCCCTTCTGGCCAAGATTGGATAAAGAAAGCTGAATTTACTCTCCTGCTTGAGATAGCCCAAAACTAGACAAAATACTTGAAATAGTGGTTTTCAAAAATAAAAGTAATGGCTATCATACAATAAATCTCAGTGATTCCTGAGAAGCAGAAAATAAAGTGTGCCCTACTGGTAATCAGTGTGGCCAGTTTTAAAAAGTTAAAGATAACACTCACCATGTGATCTAGCCATTGATCTCCTAAATATTTACTCAAGGCAGATAAAAGGATATATACACAAAGACTTTTCCACAGATATTTGTAACATATTCACATGTAATAGCCAAAAACTAGAAAACAACCCAAATTTTCCTTACCGGGTGAATGGGTAAGAAACTTATTGTATGCCCGTACTAGAATACAGCTTCAACATAAAAAAAAAAAATGAACTATTGACACACACTGTGTCTTAGCTTGGGCTGCTGAAACCAAATACTATGGAGTGCATGATTTAACTAACTAACATTTATTTCTCATGGTTCTGAAGCCTGGTAGTCTGAAATCAGTATGCAAAGACAGCCAGGTTTTGGTGAGGGCGCTCTTTCTGGTTCAAGAATCTTCAAGTGAGGGAGAGAGGAGAGAAAGAGAATCAAAGAGGAAGCAAGCTCTCTCCTGTGTCTTCTTATAAAGTCACTAATCCCACCATGAGGGCTCTACCTTCATGAACTAATTAACTCCCAAAGGCCCTGTCTCTGAGTGCCGTCATATTGGGGTTAAGGCTTCAGCATATGATTTTGGGCAGGAAGGGGGACAGAACACATGAACATTCTGTTCATAGCACACTACAGCATCCGTGATCCCAGAGTTACTAAGCTGAGTGAAAGAAGCCCAAGACAGGATATATACTCTATGGTTCAGTCTATATAAAATTATAGGAAATGCAGAAAGTAAGCTATAATAATTGAAGCAGAATGGGGGTTGTCGGGGGGAGGACACAGGTTCAAAGTGGGAGTGGAGGGATTACTATAGGACTTGACATTTTGGAGGTGATAGATACATTCATTAGCTTGATAGTGGTGCTGGTTTCATGAGTACATGTGTGTATGTCAGCACTTACAAATGATGTGTCACACCTTTTAAAAGCTGTTTTAAAAGTCAAGTGTGGAGTTATAGTTAAACCTATAGCTTTCTAAGCCCTCCCTCAAAAAGAAAATATAGGTGTTAAGTGATAAATACTTAGAAGGGACACATCAACATTAGAGGGTTTTTTTGGTACTGGGGATCGAACTCAGTTTGCCTTTCAAGGCAGGCAGCAGAACCTCTGAGCTAAATCCTTG